CCTGTGTATGCCACCTGCCTCTGTTTCAGATTCATTTTGTCTTGATTTAATTTGATATCCTTTTCTGTAATCTGAAGGAAAGACTGTACTTTCCAATAATATTCTTTTTTTCTGCTTCTGTAACATTTATCCTTTCTCCAATAATTAGGATATTATTTGCAACTTCCCGGCTGTTTCTTCTGAAAAATACAAGGAGATTCCAATTGAAAAAAAAGTAATGATTTTTTTAATCAAACAAAAGGTGTAGGGAAAGTTGTCAGGTTTTTTTTTTTCTATATCCCATGCTAGGAGCCATTGCTAGGAGCTGGTGAATATTCTGGAAAGATTGGACAGAATGTTATGACTCCACCTATTGGTTAATTGCATCATATGAAAGCCCAGTTAAATAGCCAGGGGATTTATGTAATTTCTTTGATGGATTCCTTACTATGAACAGGTTGCTTATCTAGAAAATACCAGATTATGCTGCTGTGATTGTGTTCCCTTTTTGCAAGCTTTTGAGTTCTTTTTAAGCAGACTCACGTAATGCTAATGGAACATATTTTCCTCCATAGGAAATACAAGATGAAATAAGGTCAATTTCTCGTTGCAGTTCACTTTCAGAACATATAGTAGTATAATCCCCATTTCTCTGGAAGGGAGTTTTCATGCCGTGGAATTTTGTATATTACAAATAAAATTCTAATGTCGTATTCTGGTTCATTGCTTGGATAACTGAGTTGCTGAAGAAGACAGATTAGTCCCTTTCTTTCACAACTACAATGGGAGTCTGTAAGTTTTATTCTTTTTGGGACTTGTAAGTGTCAGATTACATTTCCCTGCTGTCTGCATTACTCTTATTGTACATTTTCAGGAGGCAGCTGCTCGACCAAATAATTATGCTAAGGTCTGTTTCATTATTGGGGAATTTATTAAGTCCATTGACAATTATCCTTTCCTGTTAATCCTTGTCAGTTAAAATGATACTGCCAAGAGCGATGACAACTGTATCAGCACAGATGTGAAGATTGAGGAGAGAACCTCAGGACCCTGGAGGCTCAGGTGATGTTCTCATCCATCTCTCCACTGAAAGGAGAAAGAAAAATTTTGCACATGAATAATTGCCTTCAGTTATGATGTCGGTGGGAGCTATATAATTTCTGGAGCTATGAGCCAAGTTATTTGAATGAAAGACAGCTGGTACAAGATGGATTTCACTTTACTTGTGTTCTGGTGAAATGTGGCAAACTTGATTATCTATTTATTATTACAGGTATTGTACTAGCCAGAGTTTCTCCACCCTGGCAGCTTGAAGATATGCAGATTTGCATGATGACTGGAGAATAGTGAAAGTTAAAGTATACACATCTTCAACTTGTAATGGTTGGAAAACATTTCTCAAGATTCTGTGCAATTAACTGCTTTCTGAAAGTCCCAACACAGCAAAATGCATCAATAACCAATAACAACATGTCACTAGATATTCTATAAACATAGCAGATACAAAATGATTAAAAATGAAAGTCCAGTAAAATCTTGGCACATAATACACCAGAAGTAACTGTGGTTAAAAAGAAGAAACTATGCATAACTGATGTGGCAATGCCAGGGGATATTAGAATAGAAAACAAAGAATTGGAGAAGTTTACAAAGTATCAAGATATGAAAATTGAAATTGAAAAATTCTGGCATAAATTTGCTATGATTGTCAAAGAGGTTATTGGCACACTGAATGTCATACCAAAAAGTGTGGATGGCAACTTAGAAAATCTGCACATTGACAAAATTTCCATTGGTTAATTACAAAATGTCATACTGCTTGGATCTGTGTATATACTAAGCTAACACATTGCAATTTCCTAGGTCCGTGATGGTGAACCTTTGGCACACGTGCTACAGGTGGCACACAGAGCCATTTGTTGGGCACGCAAGGCATTGCCCTGTCAGCTCCAGCGCGCATGCACGCACTGGCCAGCTAACTTCGTCTTTCTTTTTTGGCAGCTTTTAGCCCTTCGGGGTGCAAAAAACAACCCAACGTGCAAACTGGAAGTTCGGAACTGACTTCTGGTTTGTGCATTGGGCCGTTTTTCATGCTCTGAAGGCTCTGGAGTGTAAAAAACGGCCCTATGGGCAAATCGGAAGTCTGTTCCCATGGAGTGGTGGTGGTAGAGGAGGCTTTTTTCACCCTCCCCTTGTTCCTAGAAAGTCTCTGGAGCCTGGGGTGGGCGAAAAACTGGTCCATTGCATGCCAAAAGCAGAGGGAAGAGCACTACATTTTGAACCCTTACATGAACAAATAAGAAGATGGGTGGTTCTCAAATATGACAAACAACAAATAAAATATAAAGTTGTATATACCATACATCAAAAAGGAAAGAGGTATTTGTCATTATTCAATTGTTTCTCACCAGACTACTGATGGAATTCCTCATCGTTGTGCTCTCCTTGCTTGTCAACATTGATATATGATCTCCATTCATATCTCCACTATCATGTAGCCCAACCTTCCACCCTTGTCCCAATCTATAAGTTCAACCCAGTCCACCAACTACTAAAACAACACACAAACACACACACACAAACACTTTATTAGGGTGGCAAACCAGAATCCATGCAAATAAAAACAATTAGTTATCAAATATAGCATCTAATAACTAATAAAATGTCAGCGTACAATGCCCTCTATCTCTTCTACAGACATTGTTGAAGGATATTGTATTGCTACAAACATGTATTGCTAGATAATACAATTTTGCAAGTGAATATGTCAGCTTTGTGTTTTTAACCAGGCAGAAGATAAGAGATAAAATATTCATACAGGCAGCCAGGTTTTTGTGTAGTAAAGGGATTAATAACCTTGTCCATTTTTATGTAAATATACATCTTAAGATAACATATTCTATCCATTTCAGTTCACATGGACAAATTCTTTGAGGAGCTGGTATATTGTTATATATGACTTCTAGAACTGCCCATTGGAGGACATAAAAGAAGAAAGTATCCATTGATAACTTGCAAAGACAAGCAATTTTCAATAGTCTTATGGGAGATGTGTTACTAAAACAGGTCTAGCTTGATAGATGAGGGAGGGGGCTTAGAATATCGTTAGTACACTCATGAGAACTCCAACACATACAAATCAACTTTGTACAAGCCTTTCAGCTGACTGTAAACATATATCTCTTAACCACAGGACAAGTATCTAACCCACTCCACTCAACTTTACTCTATTTAGAGTCTCTCATAGTAGGTTGCAGATTCTCTCCCCTCTCCTTTAGGGAAAACCTTGTGCTCTTTCTCCATTTATTCATCCAAGAAGTTTCTATTCACAGGGTTTCTGCCATCCAAGATCACCATGGCTTTGCAATTAATGCTGTTTTTTTTCAGGGGAAGGGGAAGGGAAAGGATTACTTCTAGTAGTCCCAGAGATCATTGAATTACCACAGTGCAAAAAAAACTAAATGATCTGACAGGTAACTTTCTTTCGTGGTCATGTCTTTTACTTCAAAACCCAAGCAACCCTTTCAAAAGACACTCGATTTTGGAGCTAGTGAACTTCTACTGTGAGCAGGGTCTATGGTTGATGATCATTATAGAAATGAGCTTTCAGAAAAATCAGCAGTTTTGGTAAAGTCAGGAAGAAATGGAGCAGGAGGGAGGTGTGAAGAGACAATGCATGACCACAGAAGAGTCTATAGGTATTTGTTCCTTTTTGCATCTCCTAGTCAAACACCCAGTGTCTTGTGAAGTGGAGGTGTCATGGGTTCCCAACCTCCGAGCTATGGCTCATTACCAGGCTGTGGACTATTCAGAATGGGTTGTGTGAGCGATAGGCTAGCAGCATGAGCACACACACCTCCACTCGCTCATGCGGCTGGCTGGTGTGCACAAACAGGTAGCTCCATAGCAGGGAGCTGCATCATTTGCAGAGTGGAGTTGTGGGTGCATGCACCAGTTTGCTGCTCAAATGGTCCTATTCCCCTCTCCCCAGCCCCAGCCTGGCTGCCAACTGAAAATGTTGGGGACCACTGTCTGACGTGACTGTACACTGCTGAATAAAGGATTCCCCAGGATTACTTTAGGTCATTTGGTTCAACATATTACATAGAATATGCCAGTGGTTACTTCACTTAAGGTAAAAGTTAAGGGTACCCCTTGCACATATGTGCTAGTCATTCATGACTCTACGGGGCAGTGTTCATCTCCATTTCAAAGCCAGAGAGACAGAGCTGTCCAAAGATGTCTCCGTGGTCATGTGGCCAGCATGGCTAATTGCCGAAGGGGCATGAAATGTTACCTTTCCACCAAAGGTGGTCCCTATTTTTTCTACTTGCATTTTTTCAAACTGCTAGGTTGGCAGAAGCTGGGACAAGTAACGGGAGCTCACTCTGTTATGCGGCGCTAGGGATTCAAACCGCCGAACTGCCAACCTTTCTCATTGACAAGCTCAGCGTCTTAGCCACTGAGCCACTCCGTCCCTATCCCTTCACTTACTTTTGCCTAAAGGATTATTTTTTGGTTTGACCGAGAATGTATTAATCTTTATTTCTCCCGGGACCACCAAAATAATACATTTTAATAATATTACCTTGAAATAAATTACTTTTCTCACTTTGATCAGGTACAATATTCCACGGAGCTTTAGAAATAAGCATTTGCACAGATTTAATTTCTGAGACTAAACAAGGGTTCAGATGTCTCCTCATCTTTCTGCCCTTTAGAATATAGTTTGCAAAGCAGCCATTTCCTTGAAATATTTCATTGTTCAGTCGGAATCTTGGATACTAAGTTTGAACCTGCGTTTGTCTCTAAGAATGGTATCAAACCACAGGTATTGCATGTATCTTGGCAAGGATCCCTCTGGTGTTTGCCACTGGCATTTCAGTAACCTTGTTTCCTCAAGAAAATAAATTTCAAACCACATTCCCAGAATACGATAGTCTCTGACATCTCAGCATGGTTGATCAAATATGTATGTGGATTTCAATATGCAGATAATACCAATAAAGACAAAAAAGTACCTTTCACAACCAGGTTTCCTGAATTTCTCGCAACTCCAAATTGATTCATCGCTATGCAGCTGTACACACCTGCATCAGCTTTGGTAATATTATATATCTTCAGACTGTTATCTTCTAAGATAAGGATTCTGAAGAAGGAGGATTAAAAAATAAACAAAACCATGCAAACCCGTTATTAATATATTATGCTGAAGACTCACACCAATAACTGTAATACGTTATTTATAATATTTGAACATTAATCATAGTTGCTGTTGATTACAGCACACTGAGCACATTTCAGCCAAATTTTCACTTCAATGTATCATTGATCATTACATTAGATACAGATTAGACACAGTAGAATGTACTAATTTTCTGTCTTTAGTCTGCCTCTTTCTCTGGTCAATTTATTCCTGCAGAGGAAGAAATAAATCCACAGTATGAGGTTTAAGCATGGTGTGTTTCTTCAGGGAGTAAAATATGTGTTCAGTCTCAGATGGTGAGCTGATTATAGTAGGAAGCATGAGAAGATGCAATTTTTCAGCAATTTGAATAGAAAATATTCCTCATTGAGATCGCTAACAGTCAAACAATGAAATGAATTTAAGCTGATTATTATAGGAAGGTTAATATGTCACACAGTTATAAATAACCAGGTTAAGGCCGCTTATTATTGGTAGTAACAGTTGAAGAAGACAAACATGGATTAAATGATTACATCAGGGCAAGCAAAGGTTATAATTTTATAACTTCACTTTTCGGAATGTGATAAAATCACAAAACTGAAAAATGTTGCTAAAAATAATAATAAAATTTGAGTGTGTTTTGCAAAGGGAGCACTATCTAAAACACAATGCACCAGGTATAATAATTGAAAAGAAAAAAATAGATAGCAAGAGGGAGAGACACAGAGAGGGAGACACACACACACACAGAGGATGGATGGATGGATGGATAGATAAACAGATTGATTGATAGATGATAAATAGATGATAGATAGTTGATTGATTGATAGAGAGAGAGATAATATATATATATAGAGATGATAGGTAGGTAGGTAGGTAGGTAGGTAGGCAGGCAGGCAGGCAGGCAGACAGACAGACAAGACAGGCAGATAGACAGACAGGCAGGTAGACGATAGGTAGATATTGATTTATGGACAAAATGCCAATTAAATTAGAAACTAAAATGATTGCAGATAGATGCCACAAAGTATCTTATATCTATAGTGATCACCAGGGTCCTCACCAAAGGAATCAGAAAGTCTCAAGCTTATAAGTTATAGGTCTGGAAATGCTATATAGGATTTACAAAAGCAGTGTAAATTATAACTACATTTTTATTACAGGAATGTAGGATCTGATAACAACATGAGATGGTCTTACTATGGGTGACCTGGAGCTTCTACTGTTTGATAAGAGCAGCAGTGGCACAGTGGTTAGAATACAGTACTGCTGTATTCTGCTGCCAGCAGTTTGACAGATCAAATCTCACCAGGCTCAAGGTTGACTCAGCCTTTCATCCTTCCGAGGTGGGTAAAATGAGGACTGAGATTGTTGGGGGCAATATGTTGACTTTGTAAACTGCTTAGAGAGGGCTGTAAAAGTACTGTGAAGCGGTATATAAGTTTAAGTGCTATTGCGATTTTTAAAAGAGACTCCAAGCTCATCCTTTCCCCTGATTGTACCATCTTCTAACATTAAAAAGTGTCCTCTTCCTCCTCCTCACCATTATCCTCCTTGTCCTTTTTTCCCTCCTTCTCCTCCTCTTCCTCTTTCCTTCCTTCTGTCTCCTATGCCTTTAGGATCATGTTTTTCTGGGCACTTATTTTACTTTAATACATTACTTAGATTATTCTTGGGGTTTTGGCTGAAATTCAAATCTCCAAAGGACATCAGCCAAAATGTGATATTTATTTTCTTTTCATTCTTTCTATTGTGTTATTCCAATACAGATATTCAGGTCTGAGAATAAAAATATATTCTTCAGAACATATGTAACAAAGAAGAGTTAGTCATGGCTTTATTTCAGGAGGAAACCTATACCAGCATCAGAGGTGTTTGCTTGCTTCTTTGTTTTTAACTAGCCATGTATTCTTATCAGGGGTGGGTGCTGGCTGGTGTTACTGCTGTCAAACTGTGCCGAACCAGTAGAAACCTACCGCTGATCCTTATGGTGTAATCTAAAACTTTCCTCTTGCTTATTTATGCAGAATACCAGAAATGCTGCTGTTTCAGAGGGACATGGGTTGGGTTTATGTTTTTACTAGATTTCAACTGCCCATCTTCTAGTAATAGTCTCTATATCATATTTTGCAAATGCTATTTTCCTTCTACTCTCCTATCCGGTCCTTAATTAGGATATTTAGGTTTAGTGTACTGTTTTTGTACAGAAGGGAGAAAAATGTATATTCCTCCAGACTGCAAGATTGAAGCTCCCATGATTTCTTACCTCTGGCCATCCAGCTAATATCACAAGAAACTACATCTTGTCGGTTGGGGGTTGTAAAAAGGAGATAATTATTTCCAAATGTTTTCATCTTCATTAATACTTGTCGGAGCTAATGCTTTTCCAGTTCTTAAAAGTGGAAGTTCTTGTGATCTGTTACCCCTCTGTTGATATATTTTAAGATCTCATTTGAGCTTTTCTCCCCCAAATGAGTGAAAGACAAAGAGCTAATCCCCAAATCAGAAAATAAATATCGTAATAGTCCTTCAATTAAAAGTTCCTATAAATCTGTTCTTGCAAATACATCTCAAGATGAAGAGATAGAAAGAGAACAGATGGAGGACCTCTTCTACACTTAGACTTACTGTAGACTTAGAATAGCTTTATTATCAGTTTAAACATACACTAATTGGCATACATGAAAATGGAATTTCATTGCATACATGTCGTAATATACACTACATAAACATGACAAAATAAATAAATAAATAAATAAGCATATACCCACATAGTTATATTTTATGACACAGAGAAACAACACAGTCTAGTTCAGATGTATAAATGTATGTGGCTAGAAATACGAATCTTGCAAGTTTACCAGACGGATGGCATAGGGAACAAAGCTGTTACAGAATCAGATAGTTCTTCTAGAAATACTTTGAAACCTCTTCCCAGAAGGGGAGCAATAGAAACAGACATTAAACTGGGTGTGTGGAGTCTCTAACAATGCTTTGGTTTCTAAGCTCATAGCTCTTATAAGAAGTAACCTGAATAATGGGAAGCAAGCTTCCTATAACCTTCTCTGCTGTCCTTACCACTCTCTGAATAGACTTTCTCTCTGAGGCACTGTTGCCACCAAACCAAATAGTGATGCTGTTTGTTAAAACTCTCTCAACTGTGCCTCTCTAAAAAGTGGCCAGGGCAGAAGGGGAATGTGTTTTCCTCATTTGACAGAGAAAATGCAGGTGCTAGTTTGCATGCTTCACTAAAGGATGACATGTGGAGAGACCTATATAGATTTTTTTTTGGGGGGGGATAAACATACATTTTGTGCTAGAAAAACAAGAACATTGTGTTATTTCAAGTTTTAAAAATGTTCCTTTTTCAAAAATTAATTCATGTAAGGGCCAGCTGCTATGCTATGTTTTTATATGCAATTTTTAACAGTTGAAAATAAGTTCAAGTGATTAAAAGATAAAAAATAATGATCCAGGTGATATTTTCCAGAAGTAAGAAAGAAGTGGCAAAAAATACACACACAAACAAAATAAAGAAAAAGAAATAAGCTGTATAATTATGAATTGTATAGAACCGCAAAGCCGTCTGCAAAGTGCAAAATCAAACTACAATTTCAGAGGAGCCAAATATGCTGATTGGGAGTTAATTATTACTGACTTTGTTCAACCAACTGTCAAACACAAGAGAATTCTCACATCTGTGCTCAGTGTTTGAGGTGATCAGGTATCAAGGTAAAAAAAGAAAAAGGCAAATGCCCTGGGATTTGCTTAGCATGATGGCATTTTTTCTTCTGCCTCTCAACTTCTTCCCACTGCTTAATCAGTAGTTTCCTTTTTTGTCAGCCTATATTCAGTCTGAACATCTGTAGTGCCACCAACCTTTATGATGTCAATAGAGATTTTTTTTTTTAAAGTGACAAATGGGGATTGATTTTACATTTGATCAACTATGGTCCCCCAGAGAGGTCTATAAAAGATAGTTATTTTTTAAAGCATTGCAGTAATTTTGGATGGTCCCTGAACAAGGAACATATTAAGCAAGGTCTGCGCTGTTGTTCTTTCTTGCCCAATCTTAATTAATTTTTGTTTTAATTATGAAGTGATAGAACAAATTCTTTTATCATTTTATAGAGTCATGGCCCTGTAAAATATTGACTGCCTTCTCTAAGTAACAAAGCAAAGCATATAAAAGCAGAGAAAATATAGACACACAATTTTAAGAATATTTCTATCACATGCCATTGCATGCATGCACGCACACATGTATATGTATATGTGTGCGTGCGTGCATGTATGTATGGAATGGCTTATGATAGAAATATTCTTACAATTATTTGTCTTTCTGTGCTTTTGATCATTGCTCTTGATCATTGCTGACATGTTTCTACACCTTGATTGACATCGACCTGTGGTAAATTAAATTGATTGGAATTATTTGGAAAGGCACACACCTCTCTATAGAAGGCCTCACAGATGACAATGCATACTGTAGCAGAGCAAAAGCCATGAGGTCAAAGGAACTGCCTCAAGAACTCAGAGACAAGATTATTGCAAAGCAGGATCTTGTGAAGGCTAAATAAAACTTCTGCTTCACTAAATGTTCATAAGAGCACAGTGGCCTTCATAATTCTCAAATGGAAGAAGTTTTGCACAACCAGGACTCTTCCAAACACTGGTCACCCAATCAAACTGAACAATCGAGGATAAGGACTTTAGTAAGAGAGATGACCAAGAACCCAAAGGCCACTCTGACTGAGCCCCAGAGACCCTATGTGGAGATGGGACAGAGTTTCAGATGAACAATCATCACTACAGCCCTTTACCAATCTGGACTTTATGGCAGAATGGTTAGACAGAAGCAGTGCAAAACACATGAAAGCCCACTTGGAGTTCGGAAAAAAGCACCCAAAAGATTCTCAGATTGTGAGGAACAAGATTTTCTGATCTTATAAAACCAAGATTGAACTCTTTGGCCTCAGTTCTAAATGTTATGTCTGGAGGAAATAAGGCACCACTCATCACCTGCCCAATATCATCACAACAGTGAAGTATAGTAGTAGCAGCATCATGCTGTGGTGGTGTTTTTCAGTAGCAAGCACTGGAAGACTGGTCAGGGTTAAGGGAAAGTTAAATGGAACAAAGAACAGGGATATTGATTTAGTGATAAAGTCACCAAATCAGTAGACCAGCAAAATGCTGTGGACATAGTATACTTAGATTTCAGTAAGGCATTTGACAAAGTAGACCACGATCTACTTCTTAGTAACCTAGAAAAATGTGGAATAGACAACATCAACACCAGATGGATTTGTAGCTGGCTGGCAAACCATATTCAATGAGTAGCTGTTAATGATACTGCATCCACATGAAGAGAAGTAAGCAGTGGGGTACCACAAGGCTCCTTCCTAGGCCCAGTACAATCCATTCTCACAGAAAATAACCCCTGAAAGCAACATCACATCACAACAGGTGTGTGTATTTGTGTGTGTGTGTGTGTGTGTGTTTAAGGAAAGACAGTGAAAAGACTGCTGTTAATTTCTCCCATTGAACTGAGGTTAAACTCAGAAGAGGGTCAGAAAATGGGCCAGAGGTATCAGGAAGCAAACCAATCATAATTCCTTCCTTCCTTCCACCTTCCCTCCCTCCTTCCCTCCCTCCCTCCTTCTTTCTTTCTTTCTCTTTCTTTCTTTCTTTCTTTCTTTCTTTCTTTCTTTCTTTCTTTCTTTCTTTCTTTCTTTCTTTCTCCCTTCTATCCTGCTATAGACTCAACCAAATATTATTATTATATGTTTAAATTCAAAGATGATTTTAATAGAATGTAAATGGTACTAAATTAAATAAATCTGGGATTAGTTTCAGTTATGCAGCTCTAGAATAACATACATAGGTTTAGCTGCTGTTCCCGCCCCCCCTCCATTTCTCAACTTGACTTCTAATAGTAAATCAAACAGAAATTCATCAACTGATGGTGGAAATAATATAAGGAAATTAAAACTTCTGTGTGATTTGGTTGTTAATTGCTGTTTTGCGCGAAGTCTTGAATAAGCATGAGTAGATGGGCTGAGATAAAATGAAAGCTTTGTAGCTGGGTAAAATGAGAAAATGGTGACCAATAGATTTACATATAGGATGCATTCAGAAAGTATTCAGACCCCCTTCATTTTGGTCAATTTGTTATGCTGCAACTTGGTTCTACAGCTGTTGAAATTCATTTTTTTCTCATTAATTTACATTCAGTACCCCTCAGTGACGTGCGGTGAGGTTTATGCCTGGTGAGGCTCAGCTGGACATCTCTTCAAAGACTCACTAGCTCCAGCGGAGTTCCTTCCCAGACTTTGGCAAAGCAGCTCAGCGGGGCAGCGGTCGGTCTCGGCGGGGGGGATTTGCATCGTGGGAGCCGCCAAGCACCCGGGTCTGCAGCAAAGGTGCTTGGTGGATCCCGCGATGCAAAGTGCCCCATCGCCATCACCCGCCTGCTGCCTCGGCCTGCAGCCACTGCTTCTCCAGGGTCCGCCACTGGAAGTCCTGGATCACTTCTGGGGGAAGGCTGAGCGAGAAGTGGAGCGAAGCTTCTCCGTGGTCTCCCGACATCGCGCAGAGGCTCTTGCATGAGCGTGTGCCAGCGGCTGGTGGCCTGGAGCATCCCCGGCTGTGAGACAAGGCAGCGCTTAAAGCAGCCGCTGCCACTGCCACCGCCCCTCCTTCACCCGGCGGGGCATTCCTGCTGCCTTGGGCTGCTTTGCTGCGTGGCAGCTGCTTCTGCAAGGAGGCGCTGGGCGAGGAACTGGAGAAGCCGGCGGATTGCTTGGACTGGAGCCTCCATGGAAAGGGTGTGGCGTGGCTTCCGAGTGATCTGCTGGCTTCTCCAGTTCCTGGCCTGCCTCCTCCAATGAACAATCCTGCTGCCCCGGCCTGCAGCCAGCCAGCCCCCCCCCCCGGCCCGACCTGCTCCCTGCCTGGACTCACTGCTCTTCTCCTCCTCCTCCTCCTCCTCCTCATCCTCCCCGCTCGTCCTCCCTGCCCACCCAGCCCATTCCTCCCCCCACCACCACTGTGTCCAACAGGCCAGGCGTCTCGTGTTTATGGCGGACATAAATGCGAGACGCCTAGCCTGTTGGGACACAGCGGCGACAACGTCCCTGCCGCCTCCGTGCTCCTCCGCCTCGCCCCCGCCTCCTCCGACTCCACCGGACCGCTGTGAAGAAAGAAACACACACACACACACATACACTCCACAATAAAAAAATTACATATTTAATTACAATAAATTTGAATCCCCCCCTCCCTCCGTCCGATCCGCATACCTTTTCCAGCTGTGGAAACTCTCTCAACTCTCCTCTGGTCTGCCCAACGTAAGCGTGCTCAACGTAAGCGTGCTCATAAGGCATGATTCGCTGC